TATTTGTAGTAGTTTATAGACGGGATGAGCGCGAGTGCAAATATCTAAGTAAAGAAATATTCCATTTCTTAATTGCTACGAAATTAATAATGGTAACAATTTATTGACAATTGGCTCTCCTCTATTACGATTGGGATCAATATGAACCTGATGAATGTTGCTAAAACAATTGCTTCTTTTTATACGTTCAATTTATTTTAATCCATTAAGAGTAATCCACTACATCATGAAAACAATTTGAATATTAACAGTTCAATAAACGCTCAGTATCTGAATTCAATATAATTTCACAACATGCAACTTAAAGCCTGTTAAATAAAACCGAACCTAAAATGGTTTGATATAAAGTCGGAAACCAATTCACAGACGTTAGTTGCCTGTTGTCAATACTGTATGTCATATGACATATAAATGTCGTCAAGGTGCGACGGTTCCCACCTTTTCCCTCGTAAAGTTTCAGCGGTAGTTTTATGATTTGCTTTTTATATTTATTTTTAAGTAAAACTGCTGTCTGTGACTGTTCCGGTACATATTTAATGACAGTAAGACTGTAAAGTTAACACTTTCTAGTTTCATTTTTAGTGCCGATTTTGGTACATGAAGGCTTATATTTCAGATAGTTATTATAGCTCTCTTCAAGTTTACAAGTAACATATTGAACATGCACGTTCACAAGAATATAAGATATACGACAAACAAAAGAGATCATGTACAGAATAATACAAAACAAAAAAGTACATGGTGAGTAGGTGCGATTCTTCAAAATGAGCAAATAATAATAATTTAATGGCAATAAAAATACCTAAATATTAATAAAAAGGTTACTCATCACTTATTCTAGAATCAGGAACACGAAATATTTACAAAAGATCTTTGGTTTACGGATTAATTTACATAATTTTAATATGTATCTGCCGTAACATCAGATTTGTTTCCGATTTACGTACATTACCATAATCACGTATAAAATAACTCGGATCATCCCATGCCGTGTTAAATAAACTTTCTAACTAAAACAAAATTTTAATGTTACGTATTTTTAGGTATTTATTTTTAGTTTCGATGTCCATTTAATTCCAATTCGACTTATTTTAAGAATTGGAACTGAAATCTACCTATGTACGTAATGTATTGCCTTGTACTTGTTTATAACTGCAGGCAATTACATACCTATCTATACTATTACAGAGTGTACTATTTACTGCACTGACAAAGAAAAAAGGTGCTACCACGTCCGTCTAATAATAAATAATGTAGAGGGGAAGTATCGGATCTGTAAATCGGGGTGGTGTGTTATAGCAGTTCAGTTGATCTATTGAAGCGAACGTAACATGTGTCGCAGGGACGCCGTCGCCGGTGAGCCACCGTGAGCATTATCGTCCCTGACGCATTCATTATTCAGCTGCGAATGGCGATCGGAACCAACGCCGGCCTGTTCGTATATTCCATTCATTCGCTCCTTTTGCTAATTTACTCTTTAACACCTTCTTACGGTTCGATTCACGACCTGAATAAAATAAAGCACCCGAACCTCATGAGAGAAGATTGAATGCTCAACGCGAAGAGCTCGTAATACTGATAGCGACTTAAAACGCGAACGCGGATTTTGTAATAATTAAGTGAACAACGAAACTGGCAGACGAGCTCCGGCTTTGTTTAATAGACTTTTAATTTTCCTCAGTTCCCTAATTAATTACAACCGCATTACGTTCCAAGTGCTATTTACTCACAGTACGGTACGCGCGAGTAAATGCATTTGAAGATTTAATCAAAACTTTACCACAGTTGTTTGCCGAGTTTGACCTTAGTGCCCTTCACAAAGCGCCCTTAATACAAGTAAGGGTTGAGGTCAATATTTCCATAATAATCATAGTGGTCAGCCTGATTGGTGACCGCAGCTCGACGATACTACAAATGGTATTGATTTAATCAAACAATCGCACACCCGGTGTTATCGAAACAAGAACTAAACTTATAAGTAATATGCTGATATTCCGGCGATTAATAAATTTATGGTTTGAGTATTTCCACTCGGAAACTATTGGAAAAGTTCTTATATAGGGCACGTGGATAAACTCGCAAAAGTTTCCAAGATTATAAACTGGAAAATATACAGTGCTTATTAAACTAAAATTAATCCTAATCTTTTACAAACAGTGACCTAAATGGAATCACAAAGTACATTCGGGTTTATGCTAATTCTGTTTCACAAAACAAAACATTCTCCTTTTACTTGTTTAGCAAACATCTAATTGAATGAAATGCGGTAGAAGAGAAACTCTTAATTCGTTTTACCACCAAAAGGTAGGGTCATAGTACTTTGAAAAAAGTCGCCGCCACAGCATACGAACTTGTTGGAAGGTCGGGAAACGAATTTTTAAAGTACCCTGTGGTCGTGAAAGACGTGACGCGAATCACGGCGAGGCCTCGGCTTGCTATCTATTTGTTCGGTCAAATTTTCTGAAGATACGTACCTAAACTCGTAATTTTCACACAAAATTGAACCGCGGGCGTCGTCGGACGATTTATTTTGTGGACATGCTTCGGGTCTCGTCTGAAGATAAGAACGTCTTCAAACAGATACTGCTCGGTAACAGGACTGATGAAAGTTGCCGCTCCCCAGGGCGACCTCTCTTTTATTTCTACGAGTTATAAAAAGTAATGAGGTATTTTATGTCTATGGCTGGTGCGTTCTATTGTTCGAAGTTTTCCAACCGAAACGCGATTTTCCAAATAGATTTTTTGTTCCAATTTCTTATAAGGTTCATGTATAAAACCGATATGACGACATAAAGAATATAACTCTGCTTTGATATAAATAATGTGTTCCATTTCTCGTGAAATCTATGGACCGTAAGTAGCTTTAAAGACCATTTGTCTATGAATAACATGACGTACAGAAGGCAAAGTCAACAATTTGTCTTTTTTCGTGCTCCCAGAGGATGAGTCATTGTTCGCTAGTAGTAACTTACGGCACATGAATGGTTCGGACTTATTTTCAATACTGAGCCAAATTTAGTGTCGTTATGTGCGTCTACGTTAGAAAAAAGGTCGATAAAACATCTGTATAGCGTATTTTTATTGTTTTTATTTCGTATAAAATAAAGTTTTCATGAATACAATGCTTCATTCAATGATTACCTCGTTGTTTGAATGGTTAAAAGTATAAGTACGAAATATTATCCTATTATTGTAATTTATATTAGGAGATTTTTCAATGTTATTTATATGTACTTTCTAAGACTATTTAGACACTGACAAACGGTGAAAGAAAACATCGTGAGGAAACCTGGGCTTATAATTTCTAATAATAAATTTGAAATTGGCCAACCCGCATTGAGCAAGCGTGGTGATTAATGCTTAAAGCTTCTCCGAGCAAGAAGAGGCCTGTGGTCAGCAGTGGGTATTTATAGGCTGATGATGATGATGTTAGAGATTTGAGATTTTTATATTAGCTTGTTTCGATATTCATAATGTGAATATCTAAGTTAGTATATGATCCATCCATCCCTACATATTGCAATGACCTTAATCGTAGTCCTTGATAGAAATACCTGAACCACACTTCTTTCTCTCCCTTCAAATTATTAAACCAAAACTGTCATATTATCGATACATGACCAAGTAAAGCCGACTGATTTATTCTCCACGGAAAGGTTGTACGGAGTTAATTTTAGAAACCGAACATAACGCGATTAATCTGAACGACACGTACAAAGAGGTAACGTCTAAAAAGGTCGGCTGAGGCATGGCCCGAGCCGGGCATGTAATCCGACGCACGCAGGGCCCACTGGCCGGCACTCACACCACCAGACATTTCACTAAGACATACGACACGAGCATAAATTTTCACGAGAATTTGAACTCTTTAGTCGATGGTAGTCTCTGGAGCAATTACCATGGCGGATAAAATATTATTGATGTTTTAATTTTCCAAAAGTAATAACAAGGAGTTTGAAAGCTTTCCTGATATTAAATTCCTTTGCGTATCGATGGAAGAGACCCTTACCTTTAATACTATAAACCTCTACCTACCTCTTAGGACATATTAAGTTGCTGTTATCTTTAAATCCATAATGTTTCTCTAGCCCGAATAGTTTAAGACTAAAGAGTGTGTTATTGAAACTGAGACCTTTTCTACTAAACATACAACAGAATTTAGTGGGCATTTGTATTTTGTTTGTAATGTTTAAGCTAAATGGAGCGGTGTTATTGTAGAGTAAAATATATGTATGTGCTGGGAAATACTTAACATGTGACAAATGGCGATGCTCACAACAACTACTGAATGTGTTTATGTCTGTGTAATTTACTGACATGATAAATCTATATTGTTATTTCCTTTTAAAACCAAAAGGTTTATGCCGTGGTACCTTCTTCTAAAACTGTAATTATCATAAATACATTTACCCAAAGTGGTAAAGTTGTAAGAATTTATAATTACGATAAGGTAATTGTAAATTCCAAAAATTTTTCCTCTCAAGCCTTTCCTCATTTGGAACTTTCTGCCATTTAGAATATAATTCCAAAACTTTTCAAAAATCTCATTCAAACTCCACAAAATAATTATGTCATAAGGAAAATTTGCAATAAAAAGTGATCTGAATACGAAATATTTGCGAGTAGGTCATCACCTGAAAATTATATCACTTGTTGATGATTCTTGGATTAAAAAAATAATCGGAAACCTTGAAGCGATTATACTGATTAAAATAATTTTATCCTGAGGCAGAATTGGTACTTGGCAATCCCAAGAACCAATAAAAACGACGTAGTGGTCCGGTCTTACAAGTATATCAGAGGAGGGTCGGTTATCAGTGGACAGTAACGGCGGCAATATGTAATTGTAGTGTGATAAGAATAATGAATGGAGATGGCCGCCTCCTGAGGTGGCGGCCAGTAATTAACGCGGCCTGTTCGACGAGCGGCTGACACACGCAGCGCGCCGCCGCCGCCCGCACAGATAACGCACCCAACCCTTATCACTACACGCTCCTTACCGTTTGTCATAAATTTTATCACTCCGATGAGCGGACGTAAGCGAGACCTCTTTTTTCGGATCCTCTCTTCCACCGAATTAACGACCCGTGAACTTGTGAGCAACGCTCCCAGCGTCTGTTTTATTTTATTTTTTCAGTCACAAACACGATCACTTCAAAAGATTATCAGACACCTCATATTTTTACTATACACCACATCACCAACTTTACATTTGCATTCATGCATCCTTCATTAATGCCGGTTTTAAGTTTGAATTTTATCATTTAGTTCAAGTATGTAAATAAATAAAGTTTATCACTTTCTCAAATGTTTCAATTCAGAGTCAAGATAATAAGCGAACGCTGTAGTTACTACAAGTTTTCAATAGTTTTGAAGTGATGATAACACTAGAGCAATTCCTGTGAGGGAAGCGATTTGAGGTTGTGCTCTTGTTGTCGCGCGGTGAATGTCAAACGTTGCGACAGAAGGTTCGCGCTGCGCGGAGGTGGCCGCGGCACTCGGCAGTCGCTTGGCTGGCGGCCGGCTGCGGACTGCGCGGGTGGTCCTCGCTCACTCAGCTCGCCGCCGCCCGCGCCCGCCGCCGCGGCGCACGCGCCCCGCGGGGATCGATACACCCCGCCCAAACCACCGCCGCGCCCGCCGGGGCCGCCCTCACCCACACCACCACACGACCACCTCATCACTACGCACGCACACCACGCGCTTCTTCTTTCGCGTGCCTTGATTTTTTGAGTCTTCTCCAGAGTCACCTCTTAGTCAATGCAGGCTCAAACTTTGAGATAACAAATACAAGAGCCTCGCAAAAACTTTTCAAACAGTTAATGAATATGTGTACATGCATACATGTATGTATATTTATTTGTTTTGTACCTTTTATTGGTCCTTATTGGTCGGAAAAATTTGATTCTATGTACTTTTTATTGAAGTGTGCAAATTCAAAGTTCCTACACAATCTGAATTCGTTGGGGCTCGACTACAAACTTACTTACCCTACTACTTATTCCACTTAAATGTACAACTAGTCGACTTCATGTTGAGGTATCCTCATAACATATTGGTTCACTACATAGTGAAAGCGAGTAGTCTTCTGTAATGTATTCTTAAATACATAATATATTCCATCTTCTGTGCTTTACTTTTCAAGTGGTTGGGATTTTCCTGAAGCTTAGGCAGGATGACAAGAACCTTAATTACTTCAGCTAACTTAGGAGACTCCTGCACGAATAAACAGCAAACCGTATGCGATCATATTTATACGTACTAAGTGTAATCTCGCGCTACACTTCGGTTAATTCCATTACCACCTTTCTGTTGGTTACCATTTTCTTTTATGTGCTGCTGCGAGGTACCTCGTAATCTCGTGCGACTCGCGCCAGTTGCAGGAAGTGACTACATGAAACAAACGCGCGCTTACATTTTCATGTTTAAGTTGGTAATTGGCTTAATTTATTTATGCTGTTCTCCCTACTCTCAAAGCGAGGCTTACGTAATACTGTTAACATACTATGAAGTGTTTAACAACAAGTTATGTTTCAATGATAATATCTGAGTACATTTAGATGCCTACTAAAATATTCCATCGGCCGTAGCATTGAGTGTCACCATTAATTTTAAGGGACACAAAAAGCTCGACCTCCGTCACGCTTCTATTACGATAACTTATAACGTTACAGTTATGTCTGCGTTATTTATTCATACACTATAAGTTAGGAGCGTGTCTTTGTGTCACTATTGGTAAAGTAAATGTAACTGAGTAATAGTTATTTATGTATTAGTGCGTTCCGCGAGTCATAAGGGTGGTGTACACGTAGGAAACCAATCGGAATTTATTGCGCGCTCAATCAGCTCCCGATAACCGCTCCCTCCACCGCCGATACACTTACACTGAATCGGATGGCAAGAAATCAGTCTCGTGGAGCGCCGCCTTCCCTAGATTTCGTTTAGCGATCAAATGCTAAAGTAAATCTCAACATTCTATTAACAAAATACAAATTACAAGTTTCAGGTATTTTACATAATTTAATTAAATCTTTACAGTTTGTATAAAAGGAACTCGTCGTGGCTTTGTAGCACCGCCCGGTGTTAACGTTCTTCGGAATAATCTATGCTTGTCAATGTTGACCCGTAGTTAGGTGCCCAACCGTTATATCAAGAATTCTCTGTGACACTCACGCTAAGACGATCATAGCTAAGATCACTATCGTGAATATTTAAAAAATCTTTCAGAGTCTTGAAATGTCAATCAATATGGTAAGTTATAGCAACCGACTCCTACTAGTCAGGTCAAAGGTAAAATGTTATGACTTGATAATGTTTTTGAACTAGGTCAACAAAAACCCTTTAAGAATATAAACGCTTATAAAATTTGTGCCAAAGAGTTGACTCCCAATCCGTACCACAAGCTCTCAATAACTGTTACATACGACGAATAAATCATATTACTTACTCCATAAAAAGTTGACGCCACATTCGCAGGACGTGAAGTATCAATACGTTATGATAACACATCTCGGCCGTGAGTCGTGGCCAACATTACTAATCAAGAAGTTTGCTCGAATAAATATCCCGCCAGCTGTCCCGTAAAAATCACAAAATATTCATCGGGGTGAGAAGGCGAGCCTTAAGAAGAAGGGAGGCGCGTTTCTTCGTATTACTCCGACAAAAGGCTCCACTAAACCAGAAAAAACTTCCATTCAACTGCCTAAGGAGTACATAAAACGTGATGAAAGGACACCGTGGAGCCGCAGCAATATGAACACTGTTTTTGTTCCGTTCGATAATCTTTTATAGAGTATCTCTCAGACCGGACAGACATTCCGGCCCTTGTTATTAATTGAGAACTCGAGAACTGAACTTTGATGCTAAGACTTTATTTCATAATTCTGCGCAATGGTTTGACTTTGCTGTATTATATTATGAAACATTTTGTGTGACTGCCTTGTTGACCGAGTGGTCGCAAGTGCGACAAGGGGTCTTGGGTTCGATTCCCGGATCGGGCAAACTATTACTAGGTTTTAAAAAAAAATCTTAGTAGTAGCACGGAGTCTGGAATTGTGCCCGGTATATGGCAATTTTTTTTAAGGGCGGAACATCGTCGAATTACCGCTCCCGCCTGGGTGAGGCGGGAGGGAGTGTCAGACTCTTACTGGCTAAAAACCACCCCGTTCTTTCTCCTGCACGTCAAGCCGGAGCCCCGGTAACCCGTTAGGTTCTCCGCGACTCCGAATCGGCATCGGCCCTGTTGGCCCCATCTGTGGTGGTCTGATGGCTCTTTGAGGCGCGCGCGGAACGCGACGCGCCGTACGCTCGGTATATGGCAATAGGCTCACCCCCTATTACATGGGACTCATAACATAAATAGTGAAAAGTAGATGTTACATTGTACAGTGGCATAATGTGCACCTCTGCCTACCCCTTCGGATATAAAAGACGTGAAACATCCATACATATAAACTAAATAACTCCAGTATATACAAATACAGAATTAGACAGTAGATGTCATATCACGGATTTCATTTTTCATACGGCTAAACAGAACACCTGTTACCCGCCAGTTTACAAACAAGGCGCAATTGTCATTTAATTTAGACACGACTACGTCGACAGTTCACTCATTAAACTGCTATTTTGAGCCTTTCACAATTTTGGAAGTATGGTTATGTCAATTTTGAATACAATTATTTATTACTGTTGTTGTTGTTGAGTGGTTGCTAGTGTGACTGTCAAGCAAAGGGATACGAATTGGATTCCTAGTTCGAGTAAAGTGTGTTTAGGTTTTCAAAAATCCTTCCGAAATGAGCTACGAGTATTACGGAAAGTAAATTTAGGACAAAGTTAAAGTTAAATTATTAATTTCAATTATACCAAAAATTTACTTTTAAGTGAAAGTCAAACAGTCGTTCCAAACTCCATGGTAATTGTTCTCTAGTCAGTTTAAAATTTACAATACCATTTATTCCAAGTCTGGGAATGAAATCTCAGACAATGTAGATCGTAACTTAGGACGCGAAGTCAATCAATTAGTTGATATCTTAACAAACCATAAAAAGTGACTATGTTGCCAGCTACGAATATTTTAGTATATTTTTGGATCGAAGCTACGTTGTTTGAATTTTACGACGTACAATAAACATACAAATAAAAATTCTATTTAATAAGAGTAACATGCCATTTTCTATATTAGTCATCTTCTAAGCAGTAAAAAGTTTATGTCGTATGAATTATACAAGTACATACTTATGCTTACATATTTTTGAATGATAACGTCTTAGTCAAGCTGAGTCATAAAATTTATTTTATGCAAGATTAGTTCTGTTGGAGTATATCTTTACTTATACTATACACGAACATTACCTATACCGGAGGCACAATTATCCCCCAATCCCCAACAATCCTTAAATTCCTAATCCCCAAACGGCCGGTAACGCATTTGTAACGCCTCTGGTGTTTTATGAGTCCATGGGCGGCGCTGATTGCCGACAATCAGTAGATCATTTTCTGAAAAAATATTTCGAGACGGGTTATTGACACCCACTTTTATCTGTTATGAGTTTCACGAGTGCAACATGGACGTCCCTATTGTTATTTCAAAATACTCTGCGAAATACTTTTATTCGATTTGCCCGAAACATGACGTTTTCAGAACAACTTTATATTCTAACATCGAATCAAATAGTTTAAATTTTAACTACACATTGCAATAATTATTCATAAACTACGTTTAAAAACACGACGTTAAAACCTTTATTTTTTTAAGTTGGTTAATAATCAAGTCGATTAATATATTAAAGCCTTCTCCTAAGTGTAACAAACACTTTCCTGAAAACTACATCAGTTCAAATCAGTTCAGCTAATCGCGGACAAACATACAATAAAGTGTTTGGCCTTCTTTTCTTTTGATGCCGGCTAAAAACGCATCATCATACAGTCGTCAGAACTGAATAAATAGCTCAAACATTATCCCGCGTGTACCGCTTGGGACGTGACCAGGGTCAGTACCCGCGGACCCTCCCCTCTCCTAAAGAGGTAACAGCTGGTCCAACTTACAAGGTGAGATGATAAACCTTATCTTATAACATTTTCCAATGTGACCCAAAAAATGGAAATCGTAAAATAATAACACCTCTTTCACGTTTTCGAGTTTGGAAATGTTTATAGCATATGCGTGCAATATCATACATAATGTATTTTGTTTTGGAAAGCTAAAATATATACTCTAGCGAGTTGGAGCTCTCAGGCTATCTGTGTTCTGTATGATTTATTTTATTTCTAAGACTTTTTTCAATTCACATTTGAATGATAAATGAGTTCATGATCGTAAAATTGTTAATATAAGTAATATTTTTTCATTACTTTTGTGATAAGACTGATTACGTACTTAGTATTTTAAATGCATGCACTATCTAAAATATACCATACTAAAAGTGTATTATGGTATCGCTTTTCTTATCTGTTTCAAACCTATCTATTTCATCTAAAACAGTCAGCCATGAATACAATTCAACTAAACTAAATCGGAACCTACTAGAAAATCTAAATTCCACGTAGACAAATAGCTTTAATAAGCTAATACTACTAGTATTTTTAAATCACCTTTATACGGTTTACG